GCTTGTCTAGCTGACATCTCTCAGTGGATGTCTGCTCACCACCTCAAGCTCAACCTTGACAAGACTGAGCTGCTCTTCCTCCCGGGAAAATATTGTCCCACTCTTGACCTAACAATCAACATCGGCACCTCAGTTGTTTCCCCGACTCAGACTGCAAGGAATCTGGGTGTGACCCTAGATAACAACCTGTCCTTCACTGCAAACATCGCTGCTACAACCCGTTGCTGCAGATACACGCTTTACAACATCAGGAAGATACGTCCCCAGCTGACTCAGAAAGCGACTCAGGTTCTGGTCCAGGCTCTCGTCATCTCACGCCTAGACTACTGCAACTCCCTCCTGGCTGGTCTACCTGCATGTGCCATCCGACCTCTGCAGCTCATCCAGAATGCAGCGGCTCGTCTGGTCTTCAACCTTCCTAAATTCTCCCACACCACTCCGCTCCTCCGCTCCCTTCACTGGCTTCCGGTAACTGCTAGAATCCACTTCAAGACACTGGTACTTGCTTACCATGCTGTGAATGGATCTGGCCCTTCCTACATCCAGGACATGGTTAAACCGTACACCCCAGCGCGTGCACTACGCTCTGCATCAGCCAAACGACTCGTTGCGCCCTCGCTGCGAGGGGGACCCAAGTTCCCATCGGCGAAAACACGTGGGTTTGCTGTCCTGGCTCCAAGATGGTGGAATGAGCTCCCCATTGACATCAGGACGGCAGATAGCTTGCACATCTTCCGGCGCAAACTGAAAACTCATCTCTTTCGACTCCACTTTGAGCGTTAGAACTATTAACGAAGCACTTTTATACTAATAAAGGACTGGCTTACCTAAAGCCAGTTGAGTAGCACTTGAAATGTTTGGCTCTATGAAACCTGATGTACTTATATGATTCTGTTTTCTTCAAGGTTGTGTCTTCCTGGTCGAATGTACTTATTGTAAGTCGCTTTGGATAAAAGCATCAGCTAAATGCAATGTAATGTAATGTAATGTAATAAAGCTTATTAATAATATCAATATTATTAGGGCCCGAGCACGGAGCGCTAGGACCCAACGGCGTCCTAGCACGAAGTGCGAGGCACCTATTGTTATTGGTGGAATTATTCTTATTAGGGCCCGAGCACGGAGCGCTAGGACCCGACGGCGTCCTAGCACGAAGTGCGAGGCACCTATTGTTATTGGTGGAATTATTATTAGGGCCCGAGCACGGAGCGCTAGGACCCAACGGCGTCCTAGCACGAAGTGTGAGGCACCTATTGTTATTGGTGGAATTATTATTATTATTAGGGCCCGAGCACGAAGCGTTAGGACCCAACGGCGTCCTAGCACGAAGTGCGAGGAACCTATTGTTATTGGTGGAATTATTAGGGCCCGAGCACGGAGCGCTAGGACCCGACGGCGTCCTAGCACGAAGTGCGAGGCACCTATTGTTATTGGTGGAATTATTATTATTATTAGGGCCCGAGCACGGAGCGCTAGGACCCAACGGCGTCCTAGCACGAAGTGCGAGGAACCTATTGTTATTGGAGGAATTCTTATTATTATTTTTCTGAGCTTTCGAACTGTTTTTGAGAGCTTTAGTATGCTTCAAAAGTTGTATAATTTAGCACGGACGCCAGGACCGGTGAAAAATGTGATATTCTGGAGTCAATGGGTTAAATATTCCAACCTGCTCACTAGCGCCACCTATCAAAATCCCATTTCGGAATACATTTACAAAGTCGCACAATATATGAATATTTTTGACGATTTACATGGCGCAAATTGCTCCAAACTGCTCGCAAATATTTCCGATATTCACGAAACGCTGTATACATATTGCTATTATGATTGCACATATATTTCAAATTGCCTTCCATTAGCCCCGCCCCCCAATAAGTCGGCCATTTTGAAAAAATTGCGTTTTTCATGCATTTTAAGCACATTTCTGCGGACTCCTCCTAGGGGAATGATCGGAAAAATTCCAATCCAGGACACGTTCAGCCCCTATCCAATATGATACTTAATTGAGGAGCACATTTTTGAAAAATTACTCGTGGAGGTCGTAAGCTAACAGCGAATACACCATTTTTGACGATTTACATGTCGCAAATTAGTCCAAACTACTCGGATATAGTTATTCCGATATTCACGAAATACTCTATACATATTGCTATTATGATTGCACATATATTTCAAATTGCCTTCCATTAGCCCCGCCCCCCAGAAAGTCGGCCGTTTTTCAGCCATTTTACGCACGTTCTTGCAAACTCCTCCTAGGGTAATGATCAGAACAATTCCAATGCAGGACAGGTTTAGCCCCTATCCAATAGGATACTTAATTGAGGAGCACATTTTTGAAAAATTACTTGTGGAGGTCGTAAGCTAACAGCGAATACACCATTTTTGACGATTCACATGGCGCAAATTGCTCCAAACTGCTCGCATATAGTTTTTCAGATATTCACGAAACGCTGTTTACACATTACTATTATGATTGCACACATATTTCAAATTGCCTTCCATTAGCCCCGTCCCCCAGGAAGTCGGCCATTTTGAAAAATGTGCGTTTTTCATGCATTTTAAGCACATTCTTGCAAACTCCTCCTAGGGGAATGATCGGAAAAATTCCAATCCAGGACAACTTCAGCGCATATCCAATGTCATGCTACATTGAGAAGGAATAGTCCTTCGCTCAAACGGGGAGCTCGTATGCTAACGGAGAATGTACCATTTTTGACCAATTATATGTCAGATAACACACACACACACACACACAACACACACACACACACACACACACACACACACACACACACACACACACACACACACACACACACACACACACACACACACACACACACACACACACACACACACACACCACGGTTAGTCCAACAACACCCTTTGCTGGCGGCATATTCATTACAACAGACACCTATACACACCCTAACGCTACTGTTTATTTGTAGATATCTCCTAAAGCCTACAAATAAACTGTGAAATGTAGGCCTGTTACATTTATTATTGAGCAATATATATTATACACACTGTTCTGCTTTCTGCACTGACCTCAGCAGCTGTTCTCACTGTAACATCACCTAACATCCAGGGGACATGTGATTAATGAGTAAACTAACGGTAAAGGGCAGAAAGTCTGATGCACATTTGATCATCTCAAATAACTTATAATCACAACGGGAACAGTTTGCAGAGCTGTGCTTCGTTGACAGAAGTCCAGCCATGCGTCCAGCCATGCGTCCCACCTCTTTTAAACATCACTGTTGGCTGAAATCGTCTCAGGAGAATACTTCAGTGTACCCTCGGTTATAGCTCCTCTAGAGACACTCCTCTCTCCTCTAAATCAGTGTATCCTCGGTTACGGCTCCTCCAGACAGCCTCCTCAATAATCGATCCTCGACGAGCCTTTAGAGACATTTGTTTTCCTTCGAGACGGCGCGCCGACATCCGTTTCCGGGTCGCTGCCGGAGGACCTGGGAGTCTGGGACGCCAAAATTATAGAAATGAGAAACGGCTCATTTCCCAGGACTCGCGCGCGTCTGCTTGACGCCGGGACGACCGGCTGCCCTCCCCGACAGGCGCACGGACGTGAGCGCCCGCTCATCACTGCGCGCACAAGTGCGACCGCAGTTTTAATTATTATTGTAAATGACCTTTAATATGTCCAACTCTATTTAAAATGAGTTAACTTTTAGAGAAGTGATTATATATAATATTTGCCAATATGTTCCTATGGTAAATATTTCGTTTTGCACTTTTATTTATTTTATATAGTAATAAGATCGGGACTCTTATTTTGAAGGAACTTTTACCGGTTAAATCAGTTTACCGATAAAGATTAAGCCCCAGAAAGCACAAGACTACTTAGCAAGCAAAATGACGTCATTCTGCATGTTAAGTAACCATGTGCTTTCGTGTTATCGGCTGAATCTTTATTTATTGATTAGATCACGTTACTCTGATGATAGTGTTCAAGACAGCCTATATGTCTGAACTCGATCCTTAGAGTAATGTGTTACGGAGCCTTCTCTTCAATCTTGTTTCCACATAACGAGCATTTTGCGCTGCTCTTTTCCAATGTGGAAGCAGAATGTGTGAAAGCATAAAGCATGATGCGGGGTGTGTCCTAGACATGTTTAGACTGGAACAGCGGGGGCCATTACGTGAACTCGCCTCACAGGTGCACAAGCCAGGATAGAGGACATCAGACTCCAGAGAAAACTTGCTCGAGTCCGAGTCCAAGTCGGAGCGTCAATGTACAAGGCGAGTCCAAGTCATCGTGGGCGGAAAAATTCACGAGTCCGAGTCCAAGTCGGAGCGTCAATGTACAAGTCGAGTCCGAGTCATCGTGGGGGGGAATATTCACGAGTCCAAGTCATCGTGCGCGAGAATTCACGAGTCCAAATCCGAGTGGCGTCAATCAGTTCGCGAGTCCGAGTCGAGTCACGAGTCTCAAAAATCGGCACTCGAGTACTCCATCTCTGCACAGCAGTAATTAACATGTTAAGAGCCTAGTAATACGCAGTTTTGGTCTCAATAGCCAATTTCCCTACTTGTGAAAACTGTGAAGGGATTGCATTTTTGTACAACTCCCCCATTTTAATTATAGGTTTTTAAGAATTAAAGTTGCGCAAGTGAAGGGCTTGGCCGTTTCGGTTGACAGGAGTTTGCACTCTCAGGTTAATACATTAATATTCCATACTGTTTATAATACTACCCAGAGATAATGCATTATAATTGGTATTGAATGATAGATATTGTGATCTGTGACCTTGGTTGTAAAATAGTTAACAGCATTCTTTATCATTCTGTATACTAAAGCAACAGAATGTTTTTACATTATAATTAATTTATATTTTTTCCTATTTATCTCTTCTTTTATATTTGTTATACATGATAGCAAAACTGATGTGATACTACCCCCAGGGCAGGCACAGAGGAACTTGCAATAGGATTCCAGAGCAGTGCAGATGAAGAGCAAAGCAGAGAGAGGGGGGAGAGAGAGAGCAAGGGGAAAGAGAGAGGGAGAGGTAGAGGAGACAGAGAGGACACACAGGCAGGCATCTCAGTGACTAACCACGACTCACTGTAATGCAGCAGAGCTGATGGTCTGACACACTAGAGGTAAGAATAGAAAAAATAAGCAATGTCTCTTTCTATCCTTTACTGTTCTCCTCTGCAGTCGCGGTCATCTGTGTGTGTGTGTGTGTGTGTGTGTGTGTGTGTGTGTGTGTGTGTGTGTGTGTGTGTGTGTGTGTGTGTGTGTGTGTGTGTGTGTGTGTGTGTGTGTGTGTGTGTGTGTGTGTGTGTGTGTGTGTGTATATATGTGTAGAGATAAATATAGCAGTAAATGATTTACTAGGTCTTACTACCTCAGACTGAAAGACAAAACATAGAAGATTTTTTTCTTTCCTGTCCTTATCATGTTTGACTATAAGAGAACCAGTTTCATACCTGCGTGGAATTACATTTATCTGACTTTTTACAGTTGTCCTGCTAGCTTATAGCTTAGAGAACAGTTTATGTGTGTGCGTATGTGACGATAACAGCTTCAGAGAGCTGTGTCATCGAATCGACAGTATAGTCTTAACGCCGCAGTCCAACCCCCCACCCATCCCTCACAGTCTACAGTCCCCTCTCTTTACCTCTCCCCATCCCGCTAGTTTCTCTCACTATTATTTGGCATGCTGGGCTAATGGGCTGCATTGACATTATGGGGGGCGAGGGGTTGAGTGACTCATGTTTTATAATATATATATTTTTTACAAATATTTTCAGACATTTAACAGCAGGAACTGTTGTGAAGGTTCTATCTTCAGAAACAGCACAATTATGGAGTAAATCCACACTGTGAAATCATAACTCCAAATGGTTTAATGCTAAAATTGTGTATAAAGGTACAAGATTGTCTATCCTCTTGATCTAGCCTTTCTATTTTGATCTTAGTGTATACCAGATCAGTGCATCAAAGAGACCCTATTATGTTTTTTCCCTTTCCTCTAATGTGTTATATTGGTGTTTGTGCATGTTATTGGTCTGGGAAGGCTAAACTCCTTGTGTTCTCTCCCCGACACACATTCATTTTGCGGTAATTAAAAGAGTTTTGTGGAGTTTTTTTGCTCATAAACTAAAATATTTGACTGAAGACGATGCCCACTGCAATCCAAGCAGCTCACAGAGCTGTTTCTCCAGGTCACAATTAATCACAACTTAATAGCATTGAATCACAATTTTGTATCTCTTACTTTCACAGAGGAAATGTAATAAATTACTTTCTTAAGTGCAATTATTTTAAAATTATTTTGTGAATCTTATTTTTACAATATTTGCTATTGATAATGATTAAAATCAATTGGGTAAGGGTTAAGCCACTCAGCAGTGTATACAGTAATTAAAAGTAAGCTTCATCTTAACCGGCTGCAATCATAAATGAACACATGAATCGGAACACACCCGGGACCATGTGCTGTGTGTCATCCCCTCGGTCTCCCCCTTTACATTATGTTATAGTTGTATGTGTTCATGTGTTAAGGGTGCCTTTAACTCTCTTGTAGGTATCATGGCTGCTGGATGGAAGCCGGTGATATTTCTGCTTTTGCTGTTGTTTTTTTGCCAACTGACCAAAAGCAAAGACGGAAAATCGAAGGGAAAGAAAGGCAAGCAAGTGGTCTGTCCATCGTAAGTAATTATAGCATATTCTCCAAATGTATCTCTATATGTGACCATCACTTTTAACATTTCCCCACTATGTTACATTATGCAGATATTATTTCATACACATATACAAGCACATTGCATTTGCAGAAAATGAGCAAGGTAACATGACAAGGTAAGAACATTTTATATTACAGGTAAAAAAGCGTTTTTATTTCTAATATCTTTGCTTTTTATTGATTTTTGCTAATAAAATGTGTCGATGTAAATGGGTAAATGCTTGCAATTGATCTGGAAACATTTACACAAAAATATGTACGCAGGGTACTCATCAATCTGTCATCAAACGTATGCACATTTACCAATTATTGGGACTGCCACAGATGGTGCTGTTTATTTTCTTATTTTTCTGTGAAATGGATGGTAAATGGAATTTATTTATACCTTGCTTATTTAGTATTTGTGCATTTATGTCACAAGTAAGCATTTACCTATTCGCACACAAAAATGCACAATGGCAGAAGCTACCATACAATGTGCCACCATCAGTTCACATTCACACACACTAGTGAGTGACTATGCCATCTGGAGCCATTTGGGGTTCAGCATATTGTCCAAAGACTTGTTAAACTAAGAGTCCAGGAATCAAACCACCAAACCTTTACTACCTGATCGACAACCACCGCAAAACGACACTTTTTACACTCATTACAACTTATTTCGAGCCACTGTATATTTACACCAGCTCCTCGTTATAGCCTATTTATAAACAAGTATCATAACAGTATATAACAATTAATAATAATGGTGACATTTTAACAGCAGGCATTTAAGCCTGGCTCAAAATGTTGCAATATTTTTTTTATATACCCTGAAAGAGGGGACATTTACATTCTGCATTTGACCCATCGTAGTGTTAGCAGCAGTGGACTGCCATTATGTGGCGCCCGGGGAACAAGCAAGAGCCATGAGTCTGAAGAGTCCTAGCATTTTGTTAAATGCATACATTACTTTTTTTCTGATTCTTTCCAGTAATTGCACATGTAAAAAGCTTTTTTATGGAAAATAGAAACACATTATAATGTTCAAGTGTTTTAAATTTGAATTCTAATTCTCATTCCTAATTAACAGCCAGTTGTCCCCAGAAGATTTGGCCCAGGTTCCGGCTAACTCCACTTCCAACATCTTGAACCGTCTGATGGTCAGCTATGACCCAAGAATAAGGCCTAATTTTCAAGGTAATGACAGAAACTATACAGGTAAGCTGTGACAAACATTTATTAGGATGAATTAATATTAGAAAATTGCAATCTGATATTAGTATCATGATTGGGTGTGAAAAATTGCGTAAGCCACGTTCACTTCCATTTTTCAAGTACAAACCTGCCACCTATGTAGACTACTGTAATTTCATATGTACGTATATGTTACAGTGGACACAAACAAAAAGGTCTCTTGCAGGAATGCCCAAAAATGTACACGAAGTCAGCCATTTTGAATCTCATGTGCAACTTTAGGCAACTAATTTCACACATACTCACTGCAGTGAACATTGTACATTGTTCATGGAACATATTGTTATAACTTCCATGAACATGGTTCAAACAGCCCCAAACTTCAAGTTATTGTTAACAGTCCAGCCCTAAATACTTATACTCCAATTGTGAGGTTTTATCTAGGGATCGATCGATATGGTTTTTTCAAGGCCGATACCGATACAGATTATTAGTAATCAAGGAAACCGATATTTGGAACCGATATACATTGGCAGTAAAATCAGGAAATCTTGGTGTCAAAAAGTAGAACACAAACTCCAACACAACTTCGTTGAAATGCCTTTAAGCATATGTTTAACCAGTTGAGCCCCAAGCCTGTTTTTCAGGCCTCAGGCTCGAAAATGACATTCCCAGAACAAATGACCATATCTTCCCTTCTAAAAGGGGTAAATTAATAATCTTTTTTATCACAGCAATGATAAACCTGTGAGTTGGATGTAGAAAAGTCAGAATCAATATAGATTTTTTTTTATTTTAAAGTAAATTCAGATTGAACATAGTAAAAAAATGTAAATTATAGTGTCCGTCCAAAATAAACACATTACTTATAGTGAAAACCACCCTTGAATGATGGGGTAGTAGACTAAAAGCTTAACTGTAACATATAATAAGTACCCTGTATCAAGATTGATGCAAAAATAAGTGACATTTGACCTTTTTACAGAGATTTAGAAAAAAAAACCCACTTCTGGGGTCATTTGGGTGGTTTTGACCTACCTCTGGTTCCCCTTGCTCGATTTTGATGGTTGACATCTCTTTTTAACCGCTAGACTAGAGCCAATATAATTGAGAGGGGGTTCCACATACACGTTACCAAATAAGGAGTGAGAGTGACGCGTAGCCAAAACCGGAAGCTGCATACACTCTACCATTAGCAGCTAATATTTATTCTCCGATTTTTACATAAAAAGGGAATTATGGATTATCAATAATGTTTTCAAAGTGACAGACACATTGGACCTATAGATTAACCCTCAGCAGCATTGTTATCGTTTTAATGCCATTGAACACGACTTTTGATCAGAATAACAGCTAAGGTGAGACGATCTCCCGTGTTTGCTCCGTAATGCTACGTGTTGTGATCTGTGTTTGCTTCCCCTGTCCCGTTAATCTGGTATGACACATTAATAGGTTTTTAAATATTAAGAAGCCCTGAAACACATTTTTGTGAAAAAAAACTACCCGTCGCACCCGGATTCTCTCGGGCAGGGCCGGCCCTTGGCATAGAACTACGCCTATATTGCGTACAGCGCCAATAAACTATGGCACACCCCCCCCCCCCCCCGCCATCAAAATCAAATTGAACTGCCCCATCCCCAGTAAAAACCAGAGGTTTATGTGAAATTGTTCTTTTTTTTAAATAATGGTTTTAGTGTGCAATTATAGGTTTTAATTTTGTATTTGTGTTCATTTAAAATAAATCAAACTCCCAAAAAACGTATACAGCTTTTATTAACATTGGAATTTACTGTGTAAGCGGCCGCGGGGGGGAGAGCTTTAGAGAGCTCTCTCCTGAAAGACTGAGCGGCTCTGATAACCTCAGCTCAGTGAGGTAAAAGCACACCTTTCTATGATCATTATAGTTACAAAAAAATAAGAGAATAGGTGAAAAACTTGTATAAAATACTGTGTGGCAACTTGAAACAAAGTTTCTTGCCCACCATCCTCAAAGAAGCGCCCTTCATTATGTCTCCACCACTGGAGTGGATCCCCCTTACGCCTGTCGATCACTGGCTCCTTGAGGTACAGATGTAACTCATCCTTGAGGCAGGATTTAGCCAACATCAGCGTGGGATGCTAGAAGAGAACTGCACATGTCATCAATACGGCTACGACAAGATATCTGTTCTCTCCGTTGCCTTTTGGGGGTTCTTCTGTCTTCCTCATTGGTCCCTTCTGCAGCAGTCTGCTCTTCCTCACTGATATCTTCTGCAGCAGCAGGCTCTTCCTTGTTGACTCCTTCTGTAGCAGCAGGCTCTTCTTGATTGGTCACATCCTCTTTCAGCCATTATTTGGCCTTGGTCAGTGTCCCGTCAGAGGAGAATACATGATTCTTATAGCGAGGATCTAAGAGACATGCCAGCACCACCATCTTTGTTTCTTCCAATTTTGAGAAACGTTTGACCAGGCTCTCCCTCATGACTTGCCTGAGTGTTCTGATGCCTTGTGTCAAGGGCCCTTTACCTTGAAATAGCATCTTCAGCACAGTCAGACATGGAATGATGCAGAACGCTGAGGAGTTGTTATGGCTCACCTCTTGTGTCACTTCCTCTATTGGGATGAGAGTTTCGACCAAATTGGACACAATGTCCCACTGGTGAGAATTAGGACAGGCAAATCCTCCGTGTTCGCCGACGTAGATGCTAAGAGCACGCTTTTGCTCCAGTGCTCTTTGCAGCATGTGGAGCAATGAGTTCCACCTGGTCGGGAAAGCCTGGACTAGGTTGTGTTCTGGCCAACCCGGTATCACGGCAAGACGTGAACATGTGACGATTTACCATGCTGGGAGACGTGAAGATGTCATGATTTCGTCCCTTCAAACGTGACAGTTACACGGTATTGTTAACCAGTGGAGAGATAACCGGAAATGCCAAGCAAATGCTACCCCGACGTAATGATGTATTTTTTAATAGTCACACTCGATTACGCCGATTTTCTTGTTGCCTCAGCTGGTCGACATCTCTTTTAGCAGAAACAAAGGCTACATTAATGTATTAAATCGATGTTAATCCATACGTGTGGATGTGGAACCGGAAACAGACGTAGGCAAGATCCTCAGCTCGATGATTGGATGGTTTAGCCGCAATGCATGCTGGGATTTGGTGTTTATGTGATGTGAAATCTGAAAACGTTTTTTTAAAATAAAATAATACTTTATTCCGAGTGTGCTTGCTTTTCTCTTTGACAGTCATCACATAACGGCATTGTAATACACGGTTCAGCTGCATTAAGTATTACATATCTGCCGTAATTCTCTATTTATAGAGCCCTGCTGAGAAGACTTCTAGACAAACATGAGAACTGCCGCCAAAACTGAAAACGTGACGTGGATCATAAATATATCAGCCATTAAACAACATCTTACATTTATTTTCACACAATACGTCTCCCTGCAGTATCAACACTAATTCGGCTGACTTTTATATTTGATCCAATTGGTAGATAGGCTGTATTTACACCAGTTAAAGCACGTTATTGAATTGTATTGTTTTATTATTAGTTATTAATAGGATCCCTATAAAGTATATTCATTACTCGTTATTCTCTACTAATAGTTAATTAAAGACTATATATAATGACTAGTTTGCACATCCCTTTCAAGATTTCAAGATTTTCTAAGCTAAGGTTTATTGACATATCATATTATATACAACTACGGTGTAGTTATGCAATGAATGAAAAACTTGGATAGCAGGTTCTATGAATCATCTATGAATATGTGTGTATACCTCCACCATTAAACTGTCATTCTGCACATTTCTTATACTATTTACATACATCTTATAAGAGTATAATACATATGTATAATATCAGCTAAAATAAGTGCTTAAACATAGTTAACAGTGCAGGAAAGCAATATATTAAGTACTTTGTCAGGCTTAATATTTATCTGTTCTTATCTTATCTTAATATTTATCTGTTCTTATCTTATCTGTTCACAAATGTCACTGTGTGTGTTGTGTGCTCTGCATGTGTGACCATTAAAGAGGGTTTCATCCCTCCATATTCTTCTTCTATACCCCCAAAGCTTTTTTCTTATTCAAAAGAAGACCTTAACCTAAAGTACTCTTTAATGTTTAAATTAAGCCTTATTAGTTTGTCTGTTTTGCACATCCTCCTATTAATATCTAATAATAAAATAATACAATTCAATAACGTGCTTTAACCACCAGGTGTCCCTTTCTCTCAGCTCTGCACCGTTATGGTATAAATACAGCCTATCTACCAATTGGATCAAATATAAAAGTCAGCCGAATTAGCGTTGACACTGCAAGGAGATGTATTGTGTGAAAAGAAATGTAAGATGTTGTTTCAGTTTTGACCACTTGTTGATCCCATGCTGACACTTACTTTGCATGTCTTGCAGACTGCCTTCCCCTGTGTTGTTTGAGTGTAATACCCCAAACTGCACTTGTTGCCCTTTTCTTTAGTGCAGCCATCTGCAATGAGATAGAAAGAGACAGAGAGTTAAAAGTGGCTGATATGCTTAACTAACAATAATGCTTAATTTATTATATCAAAACAATGCCTGTCTAGCTAGTATAAAATCCCAATAAGCTGCGAGCTAGCTCTAGCTAATGGTGTGGCATAGACTAGGCCAGTCATTCTCAAAAAAAATTCAATAATGTACCCCCTTTGAAAAAAAAATTCAGCCATGTACCCCCTGATCAGCACAAAAACAATTTGTTAGGGAAGAAATGCCTATATAAAGAGGTACGGTGCTGCACCATCAGTGTCGGATTTATTAAAACAACAACCTTGTAACTGAGAAACACTTAAATGCTACATTTCAAATGTTTACAATCCATCACTAAATTCATGGCAAACCAATTTTAACATCATGCAATAACACTAAGACGACATTAGTTGCGTTGAACTGATCTTTTTAATAAGTTGTACTTACAATGTAGTGAGAAACATGGGCTTGTGCTTCACTGAGGATCTTTGTTATTCTCAGTGACAGG